CGCTGAGCCAATACCTCCCACACACCTCTGGCTTCATCAGCTAATAAATGTGAACTGATCATTACTCCTCACTAAATCATCAGCTCTAAGCTGGAACACCCCAACTTCTCCAAGCTTAGAAGCTTCTATCATTTCTGTCTCCTTGGCACTTCCCAATCCATGTAATGCTTTCTCTCTGTTCTGTACCTGTGAGTCTCCTCAACGGCTTCCTGAGGCAGCCACTATTGAAATCTGAAGACTAGTAACTAAATTGGTGGAGAAGACTGATTTAAACAGAATCAATATCTTCATCAGATCTTTCACTTAGTGAATAATATACCTTCTTTAATTTCCCTCTTAATAATCATTTTTCATGCCACTGTGGAGTTCACTGCTCTCATTCTCAGGCTCACCTGAGCGCCAATGATGTGCAGCATTCCCATCCGTTAGCCCACTTTTCAAAGCAGACTGAGTATTAATTTCACCCTTTTGACTTCAATTTCCCTTTTATTAGTTATCTTCCTTTTTTCAGCCCTGACTTTTAGCACTATTATGCTAACGCATGGCGCAATCCTTCCCTCAACAATGAGATGTCTAACACTCTTATAAAGGTAGTATTCTCTCTTAATGGAAATGAACAGGTGGGCATACCAGAAGGATGTGACAATTACATTTAACTGGCTGGCAATGAAAGATGATCCCAAATACTTGCTGCTAACACAGTGTAAGTTTCAGTAACAGCAAGCCTGAAAAGAAGCACCCCCCTCCCCGCCCCTGCGGGCCAGAAAAAAAAAAAAAAAAAAGCGTAAAAACTGAAGCCAGAGCAGAGCCAGATGCTGCAGCCCCCTCTGTGACTGTGTGCACAGGCAGCGTTCTGCCCCCAAGTTCACACTGCATGGCAGAAAAGCTGCCAGGTAATTGTTGCCGATAGACTGCCACACAGCTGGCTCAGAGACCCTCTTCAGAGAGCTGGATTCTGCCTTGTCTCCATTCAAACCCTCAAAGAAAGCTCAGTCTATGTTCTCTACTACTGTGTTAGATGGCTAGATTAGCAGCTGATTTACTAGATTATTTTACAAAGAAATCATCCCTGCACACATCACCCCAGCAAGAAGCAGCTCCCTCCCACCTTCCTTACTGCTTCTTTGCAGTGAACCAGAAGAGAATACAATTATATGAGAGGAAGGATCCAGGATTGAAGTTTCTTGAGCATTCAGCTAGTTAATGTTACATACATGTCTTGTGGGAGTCCAAATGATCTTCAAGGCAAGCTACAGTGCAATGGGGCTTTAGCATCTGACACTCAGAGAGGCATTAGGCATCGAGCTTCATCATTCAGTGCCTTCATAGTAGAGCTTACTAAAAATTTGAGTTTATATTCCAGTTATTTTATTTTCCAGATTTGCTGAGATGAGCAGCTAATTAGGTTAGGCCTACTCTTGGGGTTTAGTACCACACTAAAACACACCTCAGTCAGACCAGGCATTGCAGAGCAACTGCAAGGTGCAGCTCCATTTGAGGAGAAAGCCATATCAGGAAAGTACTGATATGATGAGGGTTTTGGAGTTCTGTGTCCAGGTTTTGGAGCCCCCAGTACAAGAAAGACGGAGCTGTTGGAGAGGGTCCAGAGAAGGGCCACAAAAATGATAAGGGGACTGGAGTACCTCCCCTATGAAGACAGGCTGAGGGAGCTGGGCTTGTTGAGCCTGGAGAAAAGAAGGCTGTGGGGTGACCTCATTGCAGCCTTTCAGTACCTAAAGGGAGCCTACAAACAGGAGGGGAATCAACTCTTTGAAAGGGTTGATAACAGCTGGATAAGATAAAATGGTTTGAAGTTGAAGGAGGGAAGATTTAGGTTGGACGTCAGGGGGAAGTTCTTCACAGATTGAGTGGTGAGGTGCTGGAACAGCTGCCCAGAGAGACTGTGGATGCCCTGTCCTTGGAGGTGTTCAAGGCCAGGTTGGATGGGGCCCTGGGCAGCCTGGTCTGGTATTAAATGGGAAGATTGGTGGCCCTACATGTGGCAGAGGGGTTGGAGCTTCATGATCCTTGAAGTTCCTTCCAACCCGGGCCATTCTGTGATTCTGTGAGAGTGAGATTTTCAGAAAACTTGGCTTGGCAGAGAGAATGGGCAAGAACTGAAGTGCTCTAACAAAGTACTCATAGAGAAATGTTGCTGAACTGATAGGAAAGGAAATGTTTTGCAGACTCCGAAGTGAAATACTGGAATTGTGTTTTAAAAGACCCAAGCCAAAATTCTCTCACATTTATCTGTGAAAAGTGATCATTAAGAAAAAACGCTTTCCTGACAGAAGCAGTAGTCTTGCTGGGAGTTCCTCTCCCGAGAGAATTATTAAACTGAGAACTCTCAGCCACCTACAAAAAAACTTTGAAAAAACTGATTCTTATTATTCAAGGACACACTTTACTACCATTAAAGCCTCCCAAGGTCTTCAGGGAGGAAAGAAATCCAAACATAACCTGTGTAAACTGTGTGACACTCAAGCCAGTGGATGAGGACTGATGTACTTTAATCAAAAGTACAACCTTAGTAAAGTCTAAGTTTCCTCTCTCTGCTTTTTCTGTCCTTTAAATGGAAGAAAACTGTGATTAAGACTAAACAGGTTAAGTGGAATCCATTCTTAATGCCTGCATTAGGAAGCCTACATTAATCATCAAGCTTTCTTATTGATTTTGGTAGAGGTCAACATTGTACACTTAGAAAACAACCACTAATCACACTGAACTCTCTCCTTGGGCTCTCTGATACTCCGCTCGGGTTAGATATGTGGTTCAGAGGTAGCTCTCAGGTCACCTTGTCCCTCTGAACCACTTAAGTGTTGGCATACATACCATTTACTGGAAATGGTGCAGCAGTGGTATATAATAAGAGTTAGGTCAAAGTTGGACTGTGTTTACAGCATTTAATAAAATTGCCAAGATTACTTCCTGCAGAAGTCTGAATTATGCAGAGCATAAAGCTTTCTAAGACAACACATGAAAGAAGAAATATAAACCAAACAGTACATCACCAGCTAAGATATCTAGTCAACATGTTTCCATTAGTATCTGAATGCTTTCTGTAACTGACTACCCTTTTAATTTTTTTTTAATGTTTATTACTTCTCTGAATTTCCATTGTTGCAGGATATGTAAGCTACACCTGAGAGAAATTTTGAGAGTAGAAATTGCCTAGGCAATGACAAATATCTGTCCCATCTGCAAATTTTAACTATCTGTACTCAGTACACAAGCAGGCAAAAAAAAAAAAAACTAAACCCAAAAAACAGTAAGCAAAAGTAAAGCCTTAAGTTCCATTGCTTAAGTTCCAACAACAGCAGGCTATTAAAATCAAAAATTACTATTAGGCTAATTGAAACAATGGTCTGAGAGTCTGAGAATGAGTGGAACATCCTTAAATATCACCAGCCTTGCAGTGTAAAGATAATATCTTTGAAACATTATGACAAACAAATCCAAGAGATGAACTATGGTAGGTCATCAACAGCTACAAAACCTACAAAAAGATGTAAAACATTGAGCAGAGTTATTTTGCAGTGAAATGAATGGGCTATATTTTATGTATTCCAGCTTGATGATTTATTGGATACCTGTTGAGTGTTAAGTACACTCTAAAGGATGTTTCTACTTAAACTCATGAAGCCAAAATGTGTGAGAATAGAAGAATCCCTCCCTGAAATTCTAGTTCATTTTTCTTTGTCCAAACATCTTTTTTTACTGCACAGATATTTCTATGCAACCTATTAAACTTCATTATATTATGAATGGCTTAGTTAAGAATTTACCACCTATACCCTATATTTCCTTACAGCACTGTAGACATTGAACACTCCTTTTCTAGTATATGTTGGTAAAGCTACTCCCAGGTATATGACAACAAGGGTTCCATTGAAATCTGAGCAAATGCAAGACAACTCAAGAGACCCATATCCCAGTTCACACAGTCTTTTGACATCTGGACCAAATCACAAGATGAACTTTCTGCTGTAGTCTCTGTCTGGGGGTATCTGTGTGTATAGGTAAGTGAGAAGGTCATTTGCACCAGGCCTTCTGTGGGGAGATGGAGAGCTTATCATCTTCTCATTGTGTCAATTTTAAAGTTCTTCAACAGATATAGTATTTATATTAATTTTCTCACGAAGTTTAAGCTTCAGGTTGAGATTGTCAGTGAAAAAAAACAAACCTCACACAGCATTGTCAAAACTAAAGTTAATGAAGTCTCTGGTAAGATAAACATCAGTACTGAGCAAACTACACAAAAAGCTTAAGTGAGAGTTCATTTGGATTTCTAAGCAAGCTTGGCAAAGGCAGTGTTTGTTCAATGACCGTTCAGTTAGCAAGGTCTGTTACTTGCATTCCTGGGGAAAGCATCTCTCAGCTGTACAAAACCTTAGTATCTTTACCAAATTGGCATCCCCTTCTACATGCAACCTCCACTGTGAGAGGTTGGATTGATGTGATTTCTCATTAGGGTCGCAAAAGAAGTGCCCAGATATTCAGGAATTCACACATGCAAAATAACAGGTCTGTTATTAGAGTATTAAGGCACCAGCACAAGATAGTAAACACTAAGGCCTTAATCATCTCTCATAACTTCCACTAACTCTCCACCGAAGCTATTCCTTGCAGCATTTCATGTTTGTACTCTTCATACATAGGGAAGTTTATCCACAAAGCTTTCCTTCAAAAATCAAAGTCACACCAAAATAACCAAGGAACAAAACTACACTGTACAACTCCACCAAGCAACCCTAGCAACTCCTGCTGCAGTGCTTGCTTAAGTGCTGAGCAGCTCCTCCCTCTCTGTATAAAATACAGTAGCTTTCTCTCACTTTTTCATGAGCGCTTACCAGCCGTCTCAACTGAAATAGAGTTCAACATGCAATATTCCTAAAGATTAGAGTAGGTGTTAAAAGGCAGGAATTGATTAAACAAATAATGGAAGTGCATGTTAAAGAAACAATAAGGAAGAAAACAAATTATATATTTTTAAGACTCACCACCATTATCCTGGATTCAATCCCAGTTCCTCCATTACATACATCCATTGCACAGCATGCAGATTTATATGCTGATTCAGTTTATGGGAGAGCACAACCCGAAGGACATTTTCAAACAGACGTGGGCATATAATCTTCAAAAACTTTCATGTCCAACTGTGCTGCTGCTGTCAGTTGTCCAGTATGCCACTGGAAAGATTGTTTACAAAGTCTTCAGAACATCCTAAATATTAACTTCAAGAGAACAAAAAGAGTTTGATTTATTAATAGAAAACAAACAAGAGAAGGAAGGCACATGAAAACGTTTTAACTTCACAAATTCAGACCTACTTGCTAGAAAAGTCTAAGACAGGAACTTTCTCAGGATTAATACTCATAACTTCTCATTCATTCTGCTGAAGGCTTACTTGGTGTCAGTTTCCTATTCACACAGGTCAATAGCATTTCCTAGGACATACCAAATTTTGAATTTTAATCTCCTTGGTACTTCATTTGACATGCCAACTAAGAATGTGGACTAAAAATGTCTGTAATGCATCCAAAGCACATTAGGAATGAGTTGCAACACAAGCACGAGGTCAGGAATTAGACTACCTAGGGAACTGGAATGCTTCATCTGGCTGTGTGTTAGGAGCTGTTGGAGAAACAATCTATAATACAAACTACAGAATCACTAGAAATGCAGCAAAAAGGAACATAAGAGACAAGAACCTTGCCAACAGCTATGACCAGAAGCAAAGAAGACACAAGAAACACAATAGCATTAAAGAGCAATTATTTGCACAATTACCTGCTAGGTACAGAAATGTCACACACATGGCTTTAAGCCTCCACTTTCGAACATGAACCACAGCCTGGTCTGCTACCAAGTTGAAGAAGTCATACCTGAACTCCTGACTTAAGTAACAAGAAAGCAAGTTTGCCTTTTTTCCTCCCAGACCCCAGGGCTCCTTTGCTGTGATGCTGTTCTCTCCCAGAGGATTTTCACTGTTATGATTCAAAATTCACAGTCAAATGATTCAAAGTCGTACTCTGGAGACTAAGAATAAAGTATGCAGTAGGTATATCAACAAGCATGTCTATGGGAACACCCTTTCTCCAAAGAGACCAGCACAGCAATACACAGCACAGCATTTACAATTCTTTTTTTCCTTGTCTCTGTCTTCGATTGTTTTCCTGCAGAAACCATTCTGCTTTAGTGCTCCCTCCCTCCTATGATAACACACATGCCATCTTTTGAAGGAAAAACAAAACCTTTCTCACAAGATTTACCTAATATGTAGGTTTATTTTTTTTAAACTGCTGTTGAAAATTTTGCTAACAGTCATTTATCTCTTACAACTTCCTTCACCTAAGAGTTACCATCTACCTGCAACCAAGAATTGAGTTAGGACACCTGGTTTACCTGCTTGCTACCACAGCAAAGTCTACACAAAGATAGCGAGTGAATTAATAAACTCAGCATACCAGGCAACAAAGAAGTCAACCCTCAGGCAAAAGTAATTAGTACATCATGGTTTTATTCTACTGTGATCTTTCTGTTTCTTGCTGAAGTTTCAACCTATGTAAGATGATTAGAAAATATCTGCTCAAGTTACAGGCTGCCCCTTCTAGTAATTGAAACGTTTAGGGTGTATTAAATAAAATTTATTTCCTGTCACCCAAGGAGAAGCTGTAACATCAATGGATATTGCCTTACCCATGTTTGTATGAGGAAACGCAGCCTTTGCAATTTTCTTTTAGATTTAACTTTTACAGTTTATTTTATGAGAGGTTTCAAAAGATGCGTCTGTTAGTTGCAGAGATTTGTGTCCTGTGTGCGAAAACTCCAATTACATTTTCTAATTAAAAGCTTTAAGTGATGACTTGTATCCCAGTACTCTGTAGATACAAAAAGGGTCCTAGAAAACACAGCAATGTCTTACAAAGCACCAGAACTACTGCTATGGGCCGAACTTCAGCTCAAAGAGAACGTGAAATAATTGAAGTTTTAAAGAGTTGTGAGATTAACAACAACAACAACAACGACAATCAATCTCCTTTTTCAAACGTAAATATGCACAGGTAACATCCTACATTTTGGTTTTATTAGCTGCTATATGGATATGTGGAAAATGTTAACTATGAATAGCCCTCTGGTCTTTTCAATAACACTATTTGTGGGGAGCAGATGCTGTCAGATGTTCCTCCAGCTGCAGATCAGTGCCAGCACCACAGCTAATGCTTGTGAACATGGGTACTGCTGCCCGTCCAACCAAGACAAGCTGTCACTGCCAGCCTGATTCCTTCTCTTGCTCTTCCTAATGATCCATCTACAGGCGTGCTGACTCTCAGGAAAGAGCCCCAGGACAGCACTGTGAGACCAGCAGTTCCATCACCGCAAAGGATTCACCTGAGAACCCCAATCAACAGCAAAGCGGGTGTTTGAGTGAATAGAAAGCACACAACTTCTGTGCTTTCCTTCTTTTTGTAATGCTCTTCTCTTACTACCACCACTATCCCCAGGTAGGAATCCATTTAGGAACTGAGTACAACATGAGGTGGGAAAAACAAACAAATTGCAGAGCTGCCTGAAGCACTGACAGACACTGGATTCAATTACTGCAAGCTAAGCCCTTTATATCCTAGGGTTATGAGTCAAGAATACTATTGCTAAATTAAACGAAAACAAATGAGTGCAACTACCCTACTGAATCAAGGACCTAAAAGGAAACAACACCAGAACCCAGCTGAGCAATTGAGTAATCGGTCAGTACTTTGTGGCCCTACTCATAAATGTGGAGGATAAAATACCCGCTGACATGGCTGCTGCAGGTCTTTTCAGACTGACAAGTCTTTTCTATAAGCTCTCTTTTTTTTTTTTTGTGTTGGGGGGGGGGGGACGGGACAGGAGAAAGTCACATTACTAAGCCTACCAGATACACTTCTAATTTACGGTTCACTTAGATGTTCAATTCATACTCTTGCATTGTTCTTTGACAAGTTTCTGGATTACCTGCATAGCGGTAGATAAGAGTTTCAGTATCACATCATCTCTCCTGCTAAGCCAAAAGATGGAAGAAAATGAAAACATCAGACAAGTTCTCTACAAAAAATACACTAAACCTCAAATGTTTTTTAAGTTAGAGATCAAAGCTACTGGTGTCTTAACTAAATACCTACTCACCATTTATCCCTAGTTTAAAATACCTTGGGTTTTTCAGTTCACAGAGAAAAGCCCTGCCTGTTCTCAGTACAACTCAAAGAGCTAAATTATTCATACTAAAAAAAGAAATACGTTGAAGAAAGACTGGCCCAAAGATGATATAAAACTTCCTATACCGTTTTATATACTAAATGTGGGTTATATATTTATGAAGGCAATACAAGTGGAACATTACCCAGAGATATTATTCCCATAAAGGCTTCTCTTTTTCTTATCCCTCAGACTCTTCTCATCATTTTATGTTATGTGTGGGCAAATGCCTGGGAATACAGGAGTTTTACTAACAATCTATTGCACCGAAACGCTATGATTCTTTCAAATGCCTTCAGCAGATCAGGGTCTGTTTTTCCTTTGTAGTATTGTCACACTGATATACAACGAGATATTCTAACTTCATGAATTAGTCCCATTAATCTCTTGGTTTAACAGCATATTCAAACAGGTAACAATATGTGCTTGGGAAAAGTAAGTCACTTCCTTTCAAACTTATGTTAGGGCTCATTTAAATTAATATCCCCATCTCCTGATGTCTTGAGTGAACAAGCAAGTGCAAAGCCCCCTCCTGTCTTCACAATGATTGGGCCTTTTTCATATCTACTCTCATTTACTGCTTCTCCATTGCAAACCATATCAATCTTCCCATTATTTCAGAACAAAGTTTCTATGTCTCTGAACTTTCTTGTTATCCCTCCCTGGTCACTGTGCTTTCATCTGGCAGAAAACACATTAAGATGTGGAAAAGCAGATTAAATGACTTGGGAGTACACATTTTTATGCCATGGGAGAAGATGCCTGCACACCTTACACAGGGATACATAATGTTTTCTAGTTTCTACATCAAGAAAGGGTGTATCTAGAGATAATTCAGAACAGTGTTTCCAGATAAGGCACTGCAGCCAATGCAGTAAAGGACATTTGGAAAGATGACTAATAATGCCTGAACATCAAAACTCCACAGCATCAATCTCCAGCAGTCAGCAGGGAAACTAGCTTATGGCATATATTGTTTCCACCCTAAAATTTGCCCAGCTTTTAGGCACAGAGAGTAAAAATAGTCTCCATTTACAAGAATTAGCAATCTCACTATCTTTCTGGACAAAGTGTTTGGAAGCGATACTGTGAACATCTTTGTTTGACCTTTCTTGCTTTTGCGCACATCCAGAAGTGGTTTCCTAAGGTGATGCAGAAGTGTGAAAACAGAGTTAATGACTGGCATAGATGCACTAAGCTGCAAATGCTTCAACCTGAGGAAAATGGAGAGCATTTTCATTGCTATCTTAAGGGAGGGAGCAGCAGATGCAAAATCATTAGAACCAGGGCAGTGTTTCCCAAAAGCAAAGGTAAAACAGAAATAACTTCAAGGTCATTCAATATTGCAGCTGAAGAAAGGAAAGAAAAATCAACGTTTTATATAATGAAGAGTTTTTGAGGACTATTCTGCCATATGACAGCTTACACCATTTGTAAGCCAGGAAGAGCCTCTTGCCTTCGAGAAAACCTCCTCCTGTTAAAACCAGGAGCTGAAGTCAAGTGGCTTAAGAGCTTTCTAAAGTGCTTTAGCGAGTGCTCCTTGGGCAGACCTGCGCTTGTGGCTAAGTGCTCTACAAAGCATTTGTCACCATTGACAGGGACTGGAAATGGCGTAAGGAACAAATACAGGCCTTTAAGCGTGCATATAGAAACATTGAGGCAGTACATCAAGTTGATCAAAGAACAAAAGTCAGAATGGCTCTACAGATGCATTTCTTCATGTTTCAAGATCCAAACTCAAATCAGAGAGCTGGAAGAAGGTATGGCCTTAAGTTCATACTCCGTATTTTTAGAAATCCCCTCCATCTCTGCTACCACTGAATGGAAATAGTGCATGTGAAATGCAGGCAGATATCAGACCACTTGAGACCATGGCAGGGAAAGTATTGTCATCCAAGATGGGATCTGTATCTAAAACTTAACAGCAAGGCTGAGATACAACATGCAGAAGTGTTGCTGAAAATGAGGCCT